CCCCCCCCCCCCCCCGCCCTCTAGGGTTGCCATACCGATCCAACAACGAAGCATTTGGAGATCCACGCTCGCACGTGTGGGTTGTGTATAGGGATCCAATTTTGTCCGATTTGGAGGTCACCCCTATGATGGTTTTAACGATAGGTCCCTAAATCATGAGTTGCATGAGTTTGCATTCCCTGGCCACAATAGTAGGTCACTTATTAAGTATTTTTTAAAATACTTAGGTTGTGTGCTACTTCTATTTTAGGCAAAGACTATCCACGTTGGAGGCCACCCCTACGATGGTTTTAATGATAGGTCCCTAGATCATGAGTTGCATCAATTTGTATTCCCGGGCCCAATAGTGGGGTCACTTACTAAATATTTTTTATAATACTCGAGTCGTGTGCTACTTCTATTTTAGATTAAGGCAAAGCACCTTCATACGATGACGACGACATTGCAAGTAGAGACCATGACACGGTAGTAAAGTCACTTACTTAGTTGACATTAGCCGATGTTTTGCCTAAATACGATTTCTTAGTTACATCCCTCGAAGTTATTCCAAGTGTCCTTAAGGTGTTTTCTATTAAAAAGTTCATTTTGTTTCGTTAACAATTCGCATTTCTTACTTAATTCAACTTGAACAGATGCTGACCTCAATTACCCTAAGGTCAAATTCAGATTTGGAAGGATTGAAATCATAAAGAGCGATGTGAAACCTGTCCATCCAAATAACACGTTTTTGAGTCGAGGAGCTGTCGAGCTGATGAAGTGGCATGAGCCGAAGGAGTAGATGTCTGCATGCGAGACACGTGTTACTGAGGAAAGGTGATGTGCACGCGGGTCGTGAACCGGGTCGAAGCGTGGACTTCGAGTCACTCTCTCAGGTTAGGTAGAGTCCTCTATTTACGGGGTTGCATGTCTATGCGCGTGTCAAATGGGCCGTAATTTCCAACCGATCCGAGTGGGTTATTGGGCTGCTCATTAGATGCAGTTGGGCCTAATGGAGGGTGGGCTGTAGGTGGATTGTACGTGGACTGTGTACATTGTCGGGTCG